TTCTTCCAGCCCCATCCTCTTATCTATTGAGGTCCCTCGGGTTTGAAGCATTCGGAATGTAAACCACTCCCTGTAACTTAATATCACCCTGTGCAAGAATTTAAAAATGACAAAGCGCAAGTGATATTTTAATTCTTTTGGTCACAAAGGAATTTTAATGCTGTTACTCAGCTTCTGGCTGCATTTTTCTCAGTTCTTGTTTGCTCCCATTTGGTCCACAATCTCACTGAGCTGCAGCCCTGTCATCTGTCTCCTCTCAGCTCTTTGTGCCACCAGGAAACAGGCACTAGTATGTCTGGTTCCCTTTTTCAGGTAACTTCTTCTCCATCTTAAGTATTTATAGATTGACAAACTGGTCTGTGCATCAAAAGCTGGATGCTGCTGGAGTTATTCCCACTCTCTCTTTCCTTACTCCCCCCCAAAAAGAAACCTATTTAGCATGGAAATAGTACTGCATATATTGTACAGCCATATATACTGGACAAAGGGGTGGTGTGGTGCTGTGTCAGCTGCAGATAAGCTATGGACCTAAGCCAAAGGCTACTGAAATGTGTAAGAGGCTTTGGACGTTACCTTACGCCTCAGTTAACGTTTGACTAATTTAAGGATTGGATATTTGGCTCTGAAATCAGAAGTGTGCCTAAGCATGCAAGTGGTTCCACTGAAAGAGGTAGACTATGTGGATCTAACATACACTTTTGAACAAAATTGTGCCTGGATCTTTTTTGTCATTGGTGGCTCCTGCATCAGACTTGTTGCTGAAAGTTTCCCAATGCTGCCACCTACAGAATAGGTTAACTACAGCTGACAACAGAGCAGGGAAGAAAACTGTTAAGAAAATTATAGATTGTGCACAGTCAACCCTGGATCTGGTCCTAAATTAGCAATATGCAGGTCTAAACAGATAAGCCTGAAATCCTACCTGACATTCTTAAATATTTCGCAGATATTTCCAAGGATAGTTCTATATATTAACGGTTAAAAGTCCACCTCTGCAAGGTGCACAAAAATGGCAGGAACCTGTTAATTCAAATGAAACAATTTGCTCAGTAGACTCATTATGTATCTGAAAGAGCAGCAGTGGCAACAGCCAGTCACAGGCTTTCTTACAGAGTGGGCATGAAACACAAAAGAGGCTTCACAAGGTCCTGCCCTTCTCAGTAACTGTCACAGCGAAAACTCGGGAGTAAATTCAGGAAAAACACAGAGGGTATTAGATGAGAAATGGAGAGGGTCAAAAGAGCTAATTAAATTAAGGAGAATGCACAGGAAATCAAGGAAAGGTGACAGTTCCATAAGGAACAAGAGATTTAAGATAAAAATATAAAGAAAGGGAAACAAGCAGAGAAAAAAAAAACAAAATAAGCCTCACTTCAGATAGGATATGACCAACAGAAGATATTACCAGAGAGAATCTTCTCATTAAAACAATGTGTTTTGATTCATAGTTAAAAAATGCCTAGACATTTACACCTCTTGATCCAAACTCTTCTGCTAAAGTGTGAAACAATGGGCAGAGACTAAAATTCAAAAACTTACAAGTAGGTAGAACTATCTGGAAAACATGTATAAAAAGCATTTATTTTGAGATTATAAACACCCAATATAACTTTAAAACATGATCTATCTTTTCCATTTATGGCTTATTCTTATGGCTTTGCCAACCGTATCCTGGGCTGCATCAAAACAAGCATGACCAGCAGGTCAAGGGAGGTGATTCTGCCCCTCTACTCTGTTCTGGTGAGACCTCACCTGGAGAATTCCCCCCCCATCCAGCTTTGGGGCCATCCTAGTTTGAGCTAAATAGAACTAATTTTCTATTTAGCGATTTTACTTTTCAGCTCAGTCTCTTCTAAGTGGCTGAACTTGCTGAAACTAGCAGCATGTTTTTTCCAGACAGTGTGTACAAGTGATAATCACAAGGCCACTGTCTCATCACGGGTGCCGTGTCTGCACCTATGGGAGGGGAGAGCAGACCCAAAACTGACCAATGAGGGATTCCATCCCACATATGTCATAATCATTATAAAGCCAAGGGATCACGAGGGTCTCAACCCTTCAATCCTGTATCCTTCCTTCCATCTCAACCCCTTTCCTCCTGCTCTGATCCTGCAATGGCCAAAGTCCAAGCAGAACCCTGCTAGTTCATCTGCCTCTGATCCTGATTCATGCGTTCCTGCATCCTGCTGCTGGGTCCAGTCTGGGACTTTTCCAGTGCCCTGCTCTGCAGAGCCTCTGGTGTCATAATCATCACTGGGGGTGGGTGGGAAGAGGATTTTATATTGGTTTTGTATATATATATATATTTGTACATATCTGTATATATTTATTTTCCTATTTACATTATTATCCTGTAGTATTAGTATTATTGTTTTATTAAATGATAGTTTTATTTTCCAACCCGCAAAGTCTCTCTCCCTTATTGTCTTTTCTCTTCCCTTCTGGGGAGGGGAGAGGGGATAATAGAGAGCATCTGTCTGGGATTTAATGGTCAGCCCAGCCGTAAACCATGACAGAGACCCCCAACGTAAGGACATGGACCCATTGGAGTGAGTTCAGAGGAGGGGGCTAGAGCACCTCCCCTATGAAAACAGTCTGAGACAGCTGGGTGGGGTTGTTCAGCCTGGAAGATAAAAGGCTGCAGGAAAACCTTATAGTGGTCTTCCAGTACCTAAAGGGGGCTTACAAGAAAGCTGGAGAGGGACTTTCTACAAGGGTGTGTAGTGGTAGGACAAGCGGTAATGGTTTTAAAGTGGAAGAAGGGACATTTAGATTAGAAGTTAGGAAGAAATTCTTTACTGTGAGGCACTGGCACAGGTTGCCCAGGGAAGTTGTGGATGCCCCTTCCCTGGAAGTGTTCAAGGCTAGTGTTTGAGCAACCCAGTCTAGTGGGAGGTGTCCCTACCCATGGCAGGGGGGTTGGACTGGATGATCTTTAAGGTCCCGTCCAACCCAAACTATTCTATGATTCTGTATGGTTTTAACTTGGCACATACACACTTTCATGTATAGTCAGTTTTCTTCTGAATGCAGTAACACATCTGGAGCAGTAACACATCTGGAACAGCTGCACCATTGGTATTGCAAAAGCTTCCATCTATTCAACTTACAGATCCTCACCTATTGTTTGAGGCCTCCTTCATCCAGGGCAACTCTATCCCAAATCCCAGATCTTTACCAGCCCAGCTGTCTGCCAGGTTCCTATGGAAAACAGCCTTGCTAGTGATGCTACACATGAGTGAATGGGTAACATTTGCTCCTTAGTTGTTCTCTTTTATTTCTATCCTCTGTAGCTGTACCTAGGACCAGAAGCTTTCCACGAAGCCAAAATTATTCCAATGTTGCCTTTCAGTAGATTCTTAACCCAGAAGCTTGAGCAAAAGAGTGAAAAGTTTATGAAACACTAAAATAACTTCAGTAGCACTAAATATTCATATTGCTAGATTAAAAAGACACCAAACCAGAAGCATTTGACTGCCGCAATCACTATAAAATATACAGTGATATCTCAAAGGCACTTGCAGGTTGCTTTAGCATTGACTGCCTGTGTAACTGTACCCTCAGCAATAGCCTTAAAAGCATAAAAATGTTCCACTGCAGAATTAAAGCACACTCCCCCAGGTACGGCATACACTGGACTGGGCTCTACTCTCTCCCCTGCCCCCTCCTCCTGCCGTTATCTGATCTTTATTGCTTTTTCCATCTGCCCATGCTCATGCCACATGCATTTCCTCTCCTGCAGGCTTTGTTGTTAAGCAGCGCAGGCCACAGGCACGGCCCTTGAGCCTGCACTGGAGCAGGAGGCTGCAGCGTAGATGCCCCAGGAGGCCTCCCTCCACCCTGTGGCAACTTCCACTAACAGGCACAAGATGCTGTTGTAGAGAACAGTGTGTGACACACAACCTGCTTTTCTCAGCAGGTAGCACTGACCTCCCTGCTACCAGAAACTGAAGAGGACTGATTTTCAGAACCAAAGTACTCTGAGCTTTACCTAATCCTCAGAATTTGAACACCTTCAAACCATGCATGGCTTTAATCAAAGCCTGTATATTGAATTACCCTCCAAAAAAGCCTGGAAGCCAGGAAGAGCTTGTAGCATACAGAGTACCAGCAACCACCTAAGAACATCAATTACCCAGCACCATACAACATGGCTGGCAACCACAGGCTGGGAAATAATTAGAAGGCTGGCCCACATTGAAAGATGTTTTATCCCTTCTTACAGCTACCTATCAGCAAGGAACTGCAGATAAAAAACAGCTAGGCACAGGCAAGAATAGCTTCTACAGAAGGGCACAGAGTTGAGGCCAAGAAATATGTATATATACATTATATATGTAATATAATGTATGTATCTTCCTCTTGAACCCAAAATTTCACCTTGCTGTTAAAAATTCACATAGTGTGGGTTTCTCCTTTTTTAGGTCATTATGGAAGGGACAAGTAATACAGCCTCTTTCAAGGCCTTCCTAATACAATCACAAGTTAATAAGCAGACATGGGCTAGCTGAGGTTTGCGTTCAGCTTTAGCCATCGGATTTCTTTTAACCACAGGCAGGGGAAAAAACGTGTTCTGATACTGCCTGCTATAAGGAAGTACAACATTAACCAGTTCAGTGGGTATTTTGGTGGTTGTAGTATTAATACAAATAGCCTGTTTAAGAGCAGCCAGCTTCAAGTTGACATTTGAATGTTTATCCCACTTTACCCCTCTAAAATAAGTGTATTTAGGGTGGCAAACTGCAGCTTAAGAGTTTCAGGCTGGACATTAGGAAAAGGTTCATCTGAAGGATAGTGCAGCACTGAAACACTAACAAACAGTGGTGCATCTCTCCATCCCTGGAGGCCTTCAGGATGCTAGGGAAAAAAAAAAAAACAAAAAACAATTGTCCTGCTAACCTGAGGCTGGCATGAATTTTTTGCTCAGAGGGTCCTTTGAAAACAAGGATGCCACACAACTCCTTTTGGAGGAAGTTACAGTGATCACTTCAGTCCATCTATTCCAGCAGAACACTTTATTCTTATTAAGGACAAGGAAATATCAACCAATAGCTCAATATACATGACACAGATTAAACAAGCCCTGTTAAGCATTCTCTACTTAACATGTGAAAAAAGTCTAAAGACACCTGATGTATCCAAACTGCTCACATTAAAACTTGAGCTCTTCCTTTAACATAAGCTCAGTTGATGTTGCTTCTGTGTACAGCAAAAGGTGGAAACTTAAGTTTACCAGAACAGCTGTGTTTAACAAGTACTAAAGCACTGGAGTTTAAACTGCATTTATTGGTGTGCTATTAGAATGCTTTCCTTGCTTCTTTTCAGTCTCAGGCAGACTTGCAGAAAGCCACAGCAGAAAAACGAACTTCTCCTTTTTCACGTTCTGTAAATTGTCTGCAGATCTTAGCAGAATCCTTGGAAGAAAAAAAAAACCCAAAACAAACTGTTTAGACTATCAGAATACACTTGCTGTAGAGACTGTCTTTGCAACTCCTCTCTGGTTCCCACCAAGTAAGTTACAAAGTCTTGTAGCACCAGCTAATAAATACACTTAACAGATACCCAGCTCTGTGGCACACCACCACCCTGTTACCATGGTGTAAGCAGCACCAACCTGTACAGCAAGTAGGTACAGCCACTTGCCTTTTTATAAGCCTTGTTTTCAGGGAAACAAGGAGCAAGGGAGTCTTACCTTCAATAGCAAGTCATCTGAGCTTGTGCCATGGTTTACAGGAAATGGCATACGCCCATCTGTGAAAGAAAGTTCTATCATTCAGTGCACCTGAAGATACTTGGGAGGTCAGCATAAATTGTCAGTACATAGCTTGAGTGAGAAGGGGAGTAAATACTCCCAGCTCTGCAAGAGATTATATGCTTTACAAGAGCATGCAACCCATCTTCAGCTAAAATCTTCAAGTGAAGATACAAATTATGTATTGGCTTTGAGAGCCTCAGTGAACAGCTTAACTAGCACCAAGTATCCAGCCTGTGTGCTGCTGTACAGTAAAGCAGGCCCAGTCCAACTTCTCAGGACCTTACCCAATTCGTAGAGATGTCCATCCACATTGACAAACAGGATGAAGTGGAAGTTCACACTGTTGTCCTCAACCTTAGGAAAGATCGTTAGATACATCTGTTATAATGAAAAAAGCCTAGTATCGTGGAATCATGACTACAGGACAGAGATGTCAACAGCAAAGAACTGGAAACTTAAATTCAGCTGAAGAGGTCTCTGTAAGACCTCTACAGAGTCAGTGCCAGAAATCCTAATATACAGACATTTTCAGACTGGGTCTGAACCCAAATTTTCAATCCATGTTTTTAAGAAGAAACCCTCCACAAACATTCACCCATGGGTCACTAATTTCTCTTTCCTCACTAATTGTAACAGCTTTTTGCCAGACAAACCACTGTATTGCTCTACCACCTTCATCAGCCCCTTCTCCTGTTATTTTACACATTAATCTCTTACCCGACATTGTCCTTCTTGTGCAACTGAATTGTGGACTTCTTGTATAGCCTTAAGAGAAAGTAGATATGTGTTACTACATCCTTAAGTGCTGACAGTCATCAGCAGTTTGTGTAGTTCATGTACCTTATTAGTTGCAAAATGCTTAGCTCTCTCTTCAGGAGACAGATCAGCTGTTTCATCAAGAAACTTCTTCAGGGCAGACCCCTCATCTGCACAAGATGATCAAAGATTTTATTCAGTTTAGGTAAAGCATCATTTACAGTTCAGATGCAGCCCACAGTAATCAATGCTCACTGCACTAACTAGAAGTCATTTCATTTAGCCTGAAACCCTCTCCAGCATAAGCTTATTATAACTACTAAAGTAAGCTATTTATCCAGAAGCTATTAATGATCTATACAAATAGCCAGAGTTCAAGTGCTTCAGGGTACTCTGGATGCTCATCTTGGAGCACACTTTCAAATGTGATTTAGCTTTTCTGATTTCCCCCCTTGCAGACTTACCAGAGGTGTTTACTCCTGCTTTGAGGACATTACAGAAAGGTGCCAGCTGTAAGGACACTTAAGTATCAACTGAATTTCAGCTACCTGTGTTCTGTAAGTTGTCTCATTGCCTTCAAATGAACACAGCACTTGCTCATGCTAGGCTTACTTTGGTTTTCCAGAACATAAATTAGTAGTGCAATACCAAGATGCACTCAGTTTTCTTCTTGCATGAAAGAAGTGCTGTGTCATTCACACCACTTGAGTGTATCATTTCAGAGAATCCTTCCAAGAGTAAAGCAAACTACTCTCATTTAGCCTTCCATATGTGTTTTCCTTTGTGTAAGAAGGAATCCCACACCACCCAAAGGGTTCAAGTTCTCTTGGAATAATGGAACCAAGTTAAATTTTGCAGATCTCTAGTCTTAGAATAATAAAATATTTCCTGGACTAAATGGCAACTGTTCTTTGATAAGAACTTGTAATTCTATTTTCTAGGAGTTTCCAGCCACCAGTTTCCTATGCCAGTTTTATATCATTTTCTATAGGAAAAGGAAAAAGTCTACTTACAGACGCTTATCCTATACTACTTTCCCAGCAAAAAGAAAATACGTTTTAGACTGATTTACAGGCTACCCTGAGCAAGTCTGCTTATGTCAGACATAAGTGGCATGAAGAACTATTTCTTCAGTTGGTATCATCAACACCAATGTCAATAGCTACTTCTGAACATACTTCATAATTACAGACAGACCTTGGCCAGTCCTACTATGTGCCCTTTTCCTCTTGTGTTGCTCACAAGGATGATCCCTCTGCAGCTACTAGACAGGAGTCAGAGTACATTACCTTCTTCAATTCAGACAGTAGGTGAGACCATATGCCCCTCTCCAAGAGCTAGAAGACACCCACTTACCACTGAAGCATTATGGCATGCCTTAACTTGGCTTGCATGAAAGCCCAAGGTGTTTCCTATAACCCATACCCAATCAATCTTCCTCTGTCATTAAAAAATGAAAATTCAAGCACTTCAAAACATCAATACTCACCGAGCTTCAGTTTGTCTTTATTATTAGCAACTGCATGTATCAGACCAATTGTCCCGCAGGAGTTACTGACTGTCTGCTTCAGGAAATACACCTTGGAACTGACTTCTTGGTCCTTTATTTTCTCAGTCTGTTGTTTCCTGAAGTTCTCATGCTGTAAACATGTAACTGTTTTAAGCATTTCACCACAGTGATAACTTTTTATTGTGCAAACTACTAGACAAATGAGTTGCACAGGAGAATCAATACCAGGACTGGACAAAGATTTCCCCAGAAAGTCATCTTTGTGGCACAGGTCTAAAATAAAGCATAATAAAGCATTGTATGTCTACGCTGGATGCAGGCCAAGTCCTAATGGACTACCTGCATGACTCAGTCATATCCAAAGGCACTGTTCTTAGCCTCTCCGTCTGTTCTGTATAACGGAAATAGCTTGGGGTGGAAAAATTCATATAATGGATAGGCTCTTTTATATCCACTCTCTATTGTTTTGGTCCATTCAATGAGGCTACTCAGCATATCTCTGCAATAGTTTGCCTTTGTACCTTTAGTTACTTCCTTAATGAAGTCCTCCCCATTAGAAGAAGCAAGTGTAAAAACCCATCACTACTGAAAAGCTACAGTATTTCCTTTAAAGAACCTGTTAAGCATACTTTATTTCAAAGTTCATCTCCTCATCTACTTCCTTAGCATCAATTGGACTAAACATATTAATCATACAGAAGCAATTCAGGCCTCTCAAGATGCAATGATTCAGCATGGTAACAGAATCGCTATTCCTTGCACTCAAGACTGTTCATTTTTTCCTCAGTCTGATACACAAAGTGTCAGAGGAGTACTGGATTAAGAGACCTTGTTCTGTTGCTCAGTTCATTTTAGTACAGGCTATTTGGAGGCTGGGGCCAAGCATCTGGCATGTACTACCACATCAGCAACCTACAGCCCCAGCACAAGCCAAACTAACTCCCAACCACCTGATGCTTGGAGAGATGACACAGGCAGCCAGCACCACCCACTGCCAGC